GGCATTCCCCCAGCCGCAGGGCCAAACCTGCATCAGTTCCTAGAGAGGACACAGTTATTACTCAATTCACTTTTGGTGATTTCAAGATTGCGAAGGTTGGGTGCACCCAGGACCACTTTCCATAGACAAAACCCCCACTTGTGTGTTAAAGCCCACACAGGGAAATGTTACCTGATATCCTTCCTTTCTGACTGGGGATGCCTGGTTGTGTAAGGGGCTCACTTCTGACTCCTGATGCTTCTAGCCTCTTTAGGAGGCTATGTCAGGTCTGGGCGCAGAAGGAACCTTTGATCCTGCTGTGCTCACTCCTCCACTCTGAATAAAAACTCCGAGACACTAGCCTACCCCTCCTCTCTCTCCTTTTGCAAATGGCTATGAGAGCTTGGAGACCTAAGGTCTCTAAAGTCTGGGGATGAATACTCAGAGCAAGATCCTCTGAACCTGGACCCATACCCACACACTCACATGTGGAAAGTGTACTGAAAGTTGATCTGACACTTCTAATCCCCAGTTCTCTCCTGTATCAAATCTAACCCTTTAGCACATGGACTTCTATGTCTGATAGAGACAGTGTGGGAAAGGTACCTGTTAATACTGTGGATGATTCTGTGGTGAGTGATGATTCTGCAGGAAAGAGAGAAAAGAGAGTCATTTTGGGACCAGGAGATTGTGTTATGGCTACATCACTGAATTTCCATGTAGTGAAAGCTGCTCGAGTCCCAGATCCAGTAGTTCAAACTCAAGCCGGGAGCATGTGCGTGCATGCCCCAGATCCTGAGAGAAAAATGGAGGAGAATGAATTGCAGTGTGGTCATTCCCCCCCCCCCCCCGGGGGGGGGGGTTTTCAGTTCTTTTTCTCTCTCTCCTCCTCTCTCTCTCTCTCTCGGTCTTTCTGGCAAGTGCACTTTCCCTATAGCAAAATCCTCTCAAAAAAAAAAAAAAGAAAAGAAAAGAAAAAGAAAGAAAGAAAAAAAGAAAATGAGTCTCATTTGAATAGGCACTCATTATTTCCTTAGACCCTGGAAAATTAAATTTTTGTTTAATTAAAAGGTAAAATTATCACACAGTTGTCACCACAGTCTCAGATAATGTGACATTTTCTTAATTAGAAAGACTATGTTTTCTTCCTTAAACTTCCTATAGCCTGACTCCCACATGAGACTTCTCAGTTTTCTCTGTTTTTTCCATCTGTGAGTGGCCAGCATCAGAACTCCTTGTATAGATAAATGCATAAAATCATTTTAAGTATAAATGAGAGCATTTATTTTTCATCCCAGAGTGCAGAGTCAGCTGGGCTCCTCATGCTCTCTTGCTGTCCATATTCACTTCACACTACAGAGTTCCACAGTTTGTCACAGCTGGCCACCTGGCCTTCACTCATGCTAACTTACACTGGAATCTAGATTTAGAAATCCAAAATGTTTGAAAGCTCAGAAAAGTTCACGAGGCTTTTGCCCTGGTTTATACTACTGTTCCCTCAGCAATGGCACCCCTGTATGGTGGGTGTGGAGTGGCTACAAGAATTATCTTTGGTTCAAAAATGTGATTCTCATTCCAAACCCCAGACTGAACAAAACTGACACTGTCAGGATTCTGCCATTTTCTAAGGAATATATTTCTGAAAAAGTGTCCTTTTAAGAGAGGAAGGGAAACACAATTCTCCTTCTAGAAAAAGCAGGGCTCAGATGTTCTCAATTCTTCCCTGCCTAACCCCCTTCCTCATCCTGAGATTTGCAGGCGATCCAGGAAAGATCCAATCCTTCTGTCTTTTTTTTGAGAGACTTTCACTATAGGGCGCGTGCGCTCGCCAGACAGACAGAGACATAGAGACAGAAAGCGAGAAATCATCCCCCAGGGGGGATGGTCACGCCACAATCCCTTCTCCTCCATTCTCCTCTCAGGATCTTGGGCACCCCGCACATGCGCCCTGCGTGGGTTTTAAGCCACCAGGTCCGGGACGCGAACCGCAGTCGACTACGTGGGAGTCCAGCAACACAGCCATTAAGCTAACTGCTGGTTCCCCAATCCTTCTGTCTTTCTGTAAAGACCTGACTCAGTTAAAGCAAGGGCAGGCAAAACAAACAGCCAATATGAAGACAAAAACATGCCTGCCAGACTGCAAGGCAATAGAATTAATGATATAATCTTAAGGGATTTCAATTCAAATTTTAAACATTAAGCAAAATAAACACAAACATGCAGCCACCTATAAGGATGAACAATGATTAAATGTAAAGGAAGAGAACAAAAAGAGAAAAATAGACATGAAAGTCATCATGAAAACGTATGCAACCATAAAACTCTCTCCCAGCATGTATGGGGGGAAATGCTAGCCGTATTGTGAAAATAGGCAAAAGGTGCTTCCTGCGCTTTTTCCATTCTAGATAGTGAATTGGGGAGGGACGAGTACAGACCTGTATTCTCAGGCTAAGGAAGCCTGTACCTATAGACATAAAGGCAGAGATAGCCATCACGAAGGTTCATCTCAATCTAAACGGTAATTACACTATGTGGCAATTGTTGGACGCTGCCATCCTGGAGCAGAGGTCAAAGCAATGTCAGGAAAGGGATGTCTGTGGGGTGGCATCAGTGTTGGGCCATGTGGCCCCTGCCACTGGAGATTCAAAGTTCCTTCTCTAAAGAATGGAGAAAATCTATGGAGACAGAATCTCCTACCAGCCTTGGGACAGAGAAGGGATCATGTGTGCTCCTGAAATAAGGATAGTTACCAGCAGGCATTGTTCTAACAGTAACCTGTCATTTCCTGAGGAGATCAGAGCCACAAAGACTACTTGTGATCCTGCCATTGTGACTCTCATCAGAAATCATTTCATTCCCCACTCCTTCCCATCTCAAAGTATATGAAGATTGCTCTTCTCGCCTTACTCAGGACTTCTGGATTTCACTTGACTTCCTCGATGAGAATGACCCTGGAGCAGAGTCTTTAAGCCCAGCAACTCTCAATATCTAAGAGTGATCTATCTACATGCCAACAAGGGGGCTAGAACAGCTCTCTCCCAATTAAGTCTGTCAGGAATGTCAATCTGATCTTTGTGTGCAACACAGCTTTCATCATTAACCAATTCCAGAATTTCCTGGAGAAAGGTTTGTTCTTCTCAGGTAACTTCTGCTAACTTATACAAAGAAAAGCATGAAATATGCTCAGAAGGGATGGACCAATTAAAATGCTACCAGATTCATATATGGCAAGCAAGGATGGAAACTGAGAAGCTAATGGAAAGACAATAAAATTTGAAACAGGCATAACATAGAATACCTGTCATTTTAGACTCTGGTTGAACTAACTCAAGGAGTTGGAGGGAAAAGCAGACTACAACATTGATCTCTTCAGGGTCATATTGTGAGGATGGCACCACTTAAGTCTGTAGAGCACAGTTAAATGGCCCAGAGCTTCTTTGGGGAGCTTAGGCCTGTGTGTACACCCCACTACTGAACCAACCAACATTTCTCGCACAGGCAACATCAGTCTAAGGGAGAACACCAACTTCCACATCTCCATGTCAAGCACACAGAGATGAAGTTCTGGGAACAGGAATAGGTGCACCAAACAAAGCGCATTCCTGGAAATTGGAGTCTGAGGGTCTTCGATGCCCACCTGAGCACATGACACCAGCATCTTCACCATGGTTACAGTTATGAGAGAGCCAGTCATTGTGGGGGCAGTTCCACAGGTAGGACTCGTGTCCTGAGCAGCGCATGTCATCAACGACAATCGGACCTGAGCCCTGACCGAACTGGGCATATCCTGGAGCTGATGTGGCCCAGCCACAGCCCAGCTGCCTGCACACCACATTGGCATCC